CTTCTCCGCCCTCCAAGTGGCGGAGGTGAACCGAGCCAAGAACCAGCTCCGCTCTTCGCTGCTCATGAATCTCGAGTCCCGCCTGGTCGAGCTCGAGGATCTGGGCCGGCAGGTGCAGACTCACGGGCGCAAGGTCGGGGCCATGGAGATGTGCAGCAAGATCGAGGAGTTGACGGTGGAGGATCTGAAGAGGGTGGCTAGGATGGTGTTTGGTGGGCTGGTGCAGAATCCCGGGAAGGGCACAGGCGCGCCGACGGTGGTGGTCCAGGAGGGGTTGGAGGAGGGCGTCAGGAGGAAACAGATCCCTTGGGAGGAAGTGCAGGATCGGATTGCCAGGTGGAAATTGGGGAGGCCGTAGAATGGGTTCGTAGCCTATTTGGGGGTTTCTGCTAGGTGTGTATTCTTAGCGAGAGAAGAGCGAAGGCGGAACCTTACTAGACATCCTTCACTCATGCATACCTATGTATGCACCTGCCAGCGTGAGCCAAGCCAGCACAATGCAAACACTGTACTGTACTGTACTACCCATGAACGGCCTCTTTCTTTCTTTCTTTCTTTCTTTCTTTCTTTCTTTCTTTCTTTCTTTCTTTCTTTCTTTCTTTCTTTCTTTCTTTCTTTCTTTCTTTCTTTCTTTCTTTCTTTCTTTCTTTCCCGTACCAGCCAACCAACCCGCCGCCAATCCTCTCCTATCTCGCTCCTCATTCCCCAGTCCAACAACTCACAGCTCACAGATCCGCCATCAAGCGCCCCACCATCCTCCGCGCATACCGCTCCCTCTCCCCGCTCTCCATCTCCCTGCCCGCCTCCCTGATCGCCATCGCCTGCTGCAGCAGACCCTGTAGCTGTTCGACTTGGAATTCTTCTTCCTCTTCCTCCTCTTCCTCCGCTTCCAGACCCGCGGCGTCAGGGTGTGCGGGTTTCCAATTCATAAGGCGGTTCTTGGAATCATACGGCTCGTCAGGAGAGAGGAGGCGCGCGTCTAGGTCTAGGTCCGGGTCGAGGTCGAGGTCCGGGTCTGATGTGGGTTTTCTGTTACGGTCATGGGGAGAAGCGGTAGGTGGTGGTGATGGTGGTGGTGATGAAGAATTATGAGGAGGAGGAAGCGCACTCCAGTCGATATTGTGCAGGAGTTCGTGCAGGCGGGGGAGGCCGGTTTTCTCGCCGTAGAGGTTGCGTGCTTCGTCTGTGGCTTCATCGGCTGTTTGGACTACTGCTGCTGCTGCTTCGGTATTGGTGGGAGGCAGAGGAGACTTGGAAACGCCGTTCCAGGCAATGATGTCCCAGCCCAGGACGGCCCTGTCGGTAAGGAGTTGGTCTTCTACTGCGTCTACCAGTGCGTCTGCACGGTGTCTCTCGGTGTCGTAAGCAGCGGCGGATGCGGGCAGAACTGGCCTGGTTCCCTGTGGACTCGGAGTCGTAGTGGAGTTGGGTATCGAGCCCTGGAGGAGGATAACGGCGCCAACGTCGCCGTCTTGTCCGGCTCTCTCGTCCTCAATGGTTGAGCGTAGGGTGTTGACAGCTTCGATGATGTCTAGATACTCTGGCTTCAACTTCCAGGCGCTTTGGCCTGTTAGCTGCGGAAGCTCATTTTCATCGTCACCGTAACCTAGCTCAGGGTCTGTTGCTGGTGACAAGGAGGCTGTATTTGGTTCCAAAGCGTCTGGTACAGGCATTACCAGGACGATAGCCCCAATAACCCCTCTCACTTCCATCGCTTCCGGTTCAGGAGTGAGCATTTGAGTGAGCCATGTTTGTGTCGTTGGCTCCGCGACTTCTTCCCCCTTCATCCCCTCCTCCCCTTCCACTTTCGGCCCACTTACCCCTAAATCTCCATGCTGATGCGCTGAGACACTTTCGCCTACGTCTTCACTCCCAACTCTCCTTAGACTCCCCGGCTTGCTGCGAGACGCTGCCAATGGTAAAGGCACCTCATCACACCATAAACCAACCTTCGTGTCGAAATACCTGGTCCGGACCCTGAAAGGCGGGTGGCTCGTATATCCCGCCAGGGACACTCGCTCCGTCGGGTCATCCAAACCATCATGGGATGAGACTTGGGGAGGTGGAGCTTCACCGGTTAATGCTTGGAGAAGGGATGGGATGAGAGATGGTGCCTGGCTTGGTGGCGAGGATGCTAAGTATCTGGCGCTAGGTGAAGAACGGGGTTCCGGTAGAGCAGAAGAACGCGATGGCTCGAGGATCAACAGTCGGAGTTTGGATGTTGATGTTGACAATGCGGACGGTGACGACAGCGGGGGTGGAGTTGGAAAAGCTTCTGTGGGTAGTGGGGTGTGGGCGGTACTGGCTGTGCGAGGTGAAGGAGGCATTCTTAGGCTGATGGCGATGGTTGTTGCTTTGGCTATTATTTCGTCATGATGATTGTAGACCTCAAGAAAGGGACTATTGTCTCGGGGTGCTCATGAGCCTTGACTGAGAAATACTCCTCTAACTAAGTTGGTGCATTTGCTCGAAGAGCCCGGTGGGATGAATCGGGTGGAAAACAACACTTCCAACTATGCCCCAGACAAGGAGGTTGGTCGGCGTGCCTAGACTGGCGTCAGACTGGCGTCCAACTGTCGGCCAGTCTGCTCCATGTAGAGATGTTGTGCGGGAAAATACATACAAGGTGAACAAGTCGCTTGCTAGAACGAACAACAACGCAGTACACGGAGGAAGGGAGTGGTAGTGAGATTCCAGAACTACTGGCACAGTTTCTTCTGCAAATACTCAATATATGTCTATGTCCAATACAGCTCAACCACTGACTCTCTTGTAGAGGCTGCTTCTAGTAAGCCATCTTGTCGCACCCAGCTGTATCGACTACATTCTGCCGTGTAGAATAGTATTAGTTAGAACACCGCCTGTTTATAAACACCACAACCGCCTGGATCGGCCACAGGTCCATAGACTCCCGGTCACATATTGCTTGCAGAGAAAAAACCCAACGAATGATGACAAGAAATGCTCGAATACAAGTAAGCAGACAAAGATAAATTCGTTGTACGTTGCGTAAAGTGACATTATACCGATCTCTAATCCCCAAACGTTGTCCAGCTCCCCAAGATTGACCAGCAAAAACTCCTGGATGATGATGCAAACGCTGTGAGCCATCTCAGATCGGAAGCAATGGTGCTGAGTAGACGAATATTATGCTCGCCGAGTTGTACGTACCGTCCCGACAGTACTCATCAGATGATAAACCATCAATGGGCATGAATCCCAAAATCATTTCAAGTCGAATTCTCAGCTTTCAATGAATTTGGATCGATGGTCCCATATGGCATCATGGGCATATCCATGGTCTCCCCGGGGGTGTGATACTCTGATACATCAGCCATCGCCATCAAGCTACCATCATCCATGGATGGGCTAGCCATGCCAAGGTTGAGGTTCTGCTTCGAGTACATTTCACTCAACATCATACCGTCATCTGGCAAATTCGAGTCGTGCGTCATACTGAACACATCGGCAGACGCACTTGGATGCATGCTGGATAACGGCGGAGACTGATCGGCTATCACCGGATCTTGATGGCTCATGTGAGAGAGCGGAGTATGCGACGGTGGTAGCATATGTGACGGATCCATCATCGGCGACGGTGAGAGGAATGGTAGGCTGTATGGTGTGTTGAAGTCAGCTGCAGGCATGCCAGCTGTCTGGTTCGGTGGAAATCCATATTCAGATGGCGATGTCGTTGCTGCGGACATAGGGAATGGGCGGAAGTCCATTCCATAGTTGGGAGAGGTATCTATACGGAGATTTTGACCAAGTGATCCTTGGCCCGGATATTGAGGAAGTGGCTGAAATATGCTTGCGTCAGGGGTAAACTGGGTTGAAGGATGCTGGATGTGGAAGGTCGGTATTGGCGATTGTAGCATTGAGAAGTCGATGGCAACAGGCACCGACCGACTGCGCTGTCTCTTGTGGCCTCGCCCTGGATGGAGATTCATGCCGAGCCGATTTTCTTGGTACATGCCCACATGAGGCGGCTGCGGTCGCGCGAATTGCACGTTGGGCTGGGAAGCTGGGCGAGCGATGCCCATCGCGGGTGACGTTGGTGCTGTAGCTGGCACGGCGTTGATCTCGAAAGGGCTGTGCCTATTCTGGAACGATTCCAACGACACCAGCTTGGCAAGCTGTCCGCTCAGGACTTTGGCGTGTCCTCCAAGGTGGTGAAGAAGAACCTGGGATGCCTGTTGATCTTCGGTGAAATCGCCACATTGGTAAAAGCCACCAGAACCTGACGAGTCCATGAAGAAGTTCGGAGGTCGATTGAGCTCAATGACTAGACCGCCGGGTCGAGGAGGGGTCGTGTTGTTGATTGAACTGGATTCGCCCGATTCAAGGGAGATGTGTTTGATATAGGCAAAAGGGAATTCGATCTTGTAGCCCGCGGAATCGTTGTTGATATAATAAGTGATGCATGCTTTGTCTGGCGAGTAGAAAATGACAAGGTCCATCGCATTCTGCCCAACCCGGCGCCAGCTGCCGATGCTTAGCGACCGACAAGTGAAGTGATGAATGACTAGCAGCACGTTAGTTGCAAGCATAGCGCCAGCTAATGGAGACCACTGCATACCGACTTTCCCAGTGCCATTGCTCTCGCCGTTCAGCATCATTCCACCACTGCCATACGGAGCCATTGGTCCGCTGTTCCGTCCCAGTAAATGCCTGGGAAATGGCTTGCCTGACTCGAGAGCTTGCATGGCGAGCATGTGCCGCATAGACTCGGGGAGGTTATCACAGTCTTCTCCTGTTTCAATGCTCTTCTTGGCAATCATCTTGATCTTTGCGCGTCTGCGGCTTTGGGGTTAGTCAGTCCTGGGTGCTCCACAAATCAAGAGCTTTGGGGCCTACCTGTTTTGAAACCAGATCTGTACGGAACGTTCGGTCATATTGATTTCTTGGGCTATACGTTCTCGCGCAGCAGCAGTAGGCGTGGGGTTTTTGTTGAATTCAACCTCCAAGGTGACCAACTGGTCTTGTGTTGCCCTTTGCCTCTTCTGGTTTTTCTGCTGCTGCGTGAGCGTACTCTTGCGAGGCGGTCTCCTTGCCGCCGAGGAAGCCGATGTGGCTGGTGTGGTAGACATTGAGGCTGTCGGCGAAGGGGTCGATGTTTCAGACATTTCGCGCCTCAAATCGTCCCTCTGCATGCTCGTGGCTATTCCGTTGGCGAGCTCGCTTTTCCTGTCTTGTCGAGTTCCACACAGTTCAATGCTGCTTGAAGTTGGTCTGGTCAGGCGGGTGGACTTTGTGTTGTAGGGTCGATCGTAAGAATCAAGGGAACGGTGAACAGCACTGAAAATGTTCCGGTTCAGCTTTACCTATGTAGAATAAAGGTTCGTGTTGGGCGGCTGATAGTGGACAGGACGCCGGAATATACAGCTAAAAGAACGTTGATTTTTAATTTGGATATTTCAAAGGAGCTGCTGAGGTGCTTCTGGAAAAGATCGTGGATTAAGGGGGTATGAAAGAATGGTTAGTAGAAGGAGTGTGGTGGAGGCCTTGAAAGAGTGAAAGGCGTATCCAAAAAGTCAGGAAAAGAAAGAAAAGTGGAAAAACTCGAAGCAGAAAAGCAGCTGGTGAGGTGCAATGAATAGTGAGATGTGTGGTAAAAGGGTAGGAGGAAATCCAGGGAGGAGAGACTTGAGATACCAGCGGGCGGGCAGCCGACAACAGGCGCTAACGGCTCTTAGCCCCAGGGGTAGCCCCCCAAAACATCCCTCCAATGCCTCGATATGCAACAGGTCGAAAGTTAATGCAATCCTTCCCCTCCCAAGAACCCTTTAGGCGACAGAGACGGAATCGGTCATAATGCGGATGGAACATCTAGCTAAAGCATTTCTTGGGCGAGAACAGCTGGCACGCTCCGCACCCCAAATCCTCGGCAACCACCCATCACGGCGGATTGGAATTCTCCTAGACTGACACATTTGGACTCGATGGCATATCTCGTGCTCTCTGCGTCAGGTACTGCCGTGTAGTTGTGCCAGTACAGGATCGGAGTGGCACAAGCTTTAGGTGGTTGAATTGTGACAACTAAGGGGAAGATCATAGCAGCCCTAATTGGGTGGCCCTGTGAGCGTTGAGGTATTGGACGCACGATCGAGTGGTCCCGACTACTTACTAGGGTAAGAGGCATAAATAATATTAGCATGATTCTGGTAGCAGCTAGTTATAATACAGCGCCACCTAGATGCCTAGAAGCTTCTCTGGTCGATGGCCACAGATATTGACCACAGCAGTACCGCTAACCGGTCAATGCTTAGCTATCTCGTTAAGAGTCCGTTTTGAAGCAAAAATACTAGCGCCATACTAACATTACTTCTGCACGATACCGTAGTAGCCCAGGTCAGCTTGTGATAAGGTCCATCAGCGCCTCCGACAGGCTGATCGATGGTCTGTGTGCAAAGTATTCAAGGCGAAGAGGCGCGGGTGAGAGTGCCACGGGCCTTGTTCACTGCCGCCCTCACAACCCATTGAACTCGTTGACGAGCTCCACATCGCAGTCAGCATGTATATAATAGCTACTCGAGGAATAGCATCTACGTGTATCTGCTTCTCGAGCCTACGGGCCAAAATCATCAGGAAGAGTGATGGTCCAATGCAGTGAGTGCTGTTGATTGCCGTGGAACGATATAGGAAGCTTCGCCCCCCTGGAAACGTCACAGTTTCGTACAATCCTTCCACGCAGGGATTCGTCGTCCGTATGCGCTTTAGCAGCAGACTCCAGGAAAAGGAAGCGTTGCGTTGTACAACATGCGTGCTATGCTCCCAAAATCTGCAGTGCATACGCAGCAATAATGCAGTATATCGCGACATCTGTTCCTCGGAATCACAGAAAGGGGGTCCGAGATGCCTGTCATCGTCGAACCTTGGCTAGTATATGCATAGTTGATCCGATTAACTGCTTGAAGCAAGTTAGGGATGCTAGCCTCTAAACCGCATCCAGGCTAACTCAGGTACGAGCACCTCATACCATGACCTAGTGGCGGCTGGCTTTTGATCCGGGGTAGATGATTGGTCTGCACGACGATACTCTGTCCGACGTCAGGGCACCGCCAAGCACAGTGCTGTCTCAGATCTTCAGGTCAAAACTGCAGATCGCTATGGCAATGCGCTGGCTGAGGGTCCAGGGTTCGCAGAAAAGAAGGAGGCGGCGATGATTCGAGGTTGCCTGGCCATTGTGCAGCAATGCCCGGAAAGATAGGGTGCATCCACGAAAACTGTTGGAATCGAGGCATAACCTCTGGTTGAAACATTGAGAGGCAACGTCATGCGTACTGCAGGTGAAACACACTGTATGTCGGAGCGACCAGAAACTGGGAAAGTGGCGTCCGAAGTAAGCACAGCAAGTTACTATCTATGTTTTAGGTCTACAGACTTGGTCGGTTGAGCTTTAACTTTGGACTACTGGAAGGTGCAAAGAGAAAGCGCCTGGAATTGCCTACATACTAGTAGACCCTAACGCCGCGATTACTAGTAATAGGATCTGACACTTGAGTTTGAGAATCACAATGTGTAGAAGATTATTCCTGGTCTCAGTATATGGCCAAGCACGTCTAGGCCATTTCCAGGCTTGCAAGAACTTCCCCAACGCCGCCTTGCACTCCGTACAGCCCTCCCGATACAACCAAGCGCGTCAACACCGATGCTCTTTTCTGACCAGCCCGAATCCTTTGCTGAACACATCAATCGAATTTCGTATCACACTTCCAATCTTAGAATCCTTGCCAAGCGTTGATGCTGCTGCCAGGGTAGGATCCTTGTCTGAAGCTCGATTCTGGAGCATCGCCTCTACCAGTGCCTCCCGATCTGCCTCGACAGCAGCCTTTGTCTTTCCATCAGCCTTGTTCTTGCGGTTCGAATGTGGCTTCGCTGGTTGATGGAACGGGGCAGCCGAGACCTGGAAGCGTTGTCGTAGAACAGGGGTTTGCTCATAGACCTGGAAGACGTCCACATCAGATGGGAAAAAGTTTGCCTTTAAAGCTTTGATGGCCAACTCAAACAGCAAGAATGAAAGCACGATGACCGTTAGCGTCAACCACCAGAGAGCATTCCGTCCAAATCGCTCTAGGAGGCCCGACCTGACGTTGTAGATCACGTTGTCCTCATAGACAGCAGACAGTAAGATATTCCATGCAAACCATGCTCCAATACTGACAACGAGAGCAATCACCACCAAAATGTTTTTGTTGTGGATTTCCAACACCTGTAGCTTCATATTCACAATGATGACACAGGCAGTGTAGGTCATCACTCCCATAGCGAAGAGCCCGTTATCGAGGGTGAAGGTTGTCCGCGCATAGATACCGTACATGACGAAGAAAACTAGCATTGCTTCGACCGTGGCCATAAAATTCCACCACAAGTAAAGCTTGAAGTTGAATGAGCCCCTCCGTTGACCTCTGGTATAGAGTTCAGGCACAGCCAGAAGTGTGGCCGGGGACAACTCAGCCATGAAGGCACCCAGAAAGATGATCGGTAACGAGGTGAAGAATGCATTGTACCATGATAACGACCAGCTTTCGTACAAACTTGTCCCGGTATAACCATTGCTTCGCTGATAGAGAGCTTGCGTCAGATAAAACAGCATCTCTTTGTAAGTGGTGCCCAGAACGTATTTGCTGATTCGATCGTAGTTGTATCTCCCATGAACCAACAGCAGTTTACAAAGAAAGCGGAACTGAGCAATGGCATAGTCACTCGTCCTCGCGGCTTGAAGGCCTTCCTTTCCTCCAGATATGCCGATGCCCACGTCCGCCTCCTGGATCATCGCCACATCATTCGCGCCATCGCCAATGGCTAAAGTGACAGCTCCATTCACGCGACGTCGAATTGATTTCACAAGCATGGCCTTCTGACTTGGGCTTGCCCGGCAACAAATGACCGAGTCTACCAGGGTCGCCAGGTCGAGCAACGCAGTCTTGTGTGCAGTATTGCCCTCAATCGAAGCCAAAGTTCCACCATCCATGACAAGCACCGCATGAGCAACCGTTCCTTGTTTGATGTCAAGCAACGCATTGGCTATCTCCTGGTCGACGGGGCCCACGACGTGATCGAGTATGATGAAGGTGGAATAGTCCTTAGCAAGCCTACATGAGCGTGAGATGCTGATCGCAGTCTCGCGCTTGTCACCAGTAAGCATCCAAAGCTTGATGTTGGCTCTTCTTAATCGGTCAATGGTATCGGGAACGCCATCTTGCAATTTGTCTTCAATGGCTGTTGCTCCAATGAGTTCGAATTCTTTCTCGATCAGATCAGCCACCTCGCTAATTCGTTCTTCTCGGCTGGTAAGGGAAGTGGTCGCTTCACGGTAAGCTTCTGCCCAAATGCGGTACTCGTCTTCACTTATATAGCGAGCTGCATGCAACAGAGTACGTAGACCTTCGTTGGCAAATTCGTTCAGGTGTCTCAAGGTTTGCTCTATCACCCAAGACTCTTTCAACAGCAGGTTGTCATCAACAAGGTCTTTGACTTCTGCCGACGAGGGCGAGACTGGTATAGTATCGTGAGATTTTAATTGTAGGTTCCTTTCCTGCATTGATGATCGACGTGATGACGGTTGTCCAGATGTGCGACGTGAGAGAGGTTGAGTGTGAGCAGTAACAGGAGAGGTGGGCGAGATGGCCGTGTCAGCTTCTCGATCCGAGAGCCATTGGTCAACACTGTACCGCACTGAGCCTTTCCCTTGGAACGAACTGGTTCTGCGTCCTGCTCCGACTGCGTCAAAGCTAGGGCGTCCGAGGCTAGGGGTAGTACTCTGTCTTCTGAGCGCTTCCTGAGCGCCCAGGCTTTTCTCCTTGGTGGTTTGCTGTTCGATAGCCTTCGCTTGGGCAGCAGCCAGATCAGAAAGCCGCAATAGGTCACGGATTACCGAATCTGCGCCCTTACAGTGAATGCATATCCGACCATCAGGTTCTCTTACAATTACACTCATTCGTTTCCGATCGCTTGTGAACTCAATCACATGAAGGACCTCGTACTTTGCGAAAACTGGCTCCGCACCGTCGCCGCTTCCAAAGATTTTAAGGGTGACCGTGCTGCTTTGACGATCAAGAAACAGGTAGCCCATTTCCTGTGCAGCCGTGACTAGGGCAAGCTCGTCGGGAGAAGTCGCTTGATATCGAATTCCCTCCTGCTGTTCCGTGCTCTCAGGAACACACGTGTGGCATAACGCTATCGAGAGAAGAAAGAATCTCGCCTTGATGGCAAGTGGCGCTGAGGGGTTCTTGTAGATGTACTCGATTAGCTGCGTGGTTGTCGTATTGTGTGACGGACGAGCTGGTTTACCTACGTCTCGTCTTCGCTCATCTGTGGAGGACCCAGCATCTTCTGGACCATGGACTGAGTTGCTGCTTCCGATGAAACCCCATGCATTGGATCTTCGAGGACTTTGCTCAGGCTGTCCAGCCCCTCTTGACACAGATTGGTTCTCTTTCCCGTTCTGCCTTGTCTCTGCTACCCTTGTTTCGGCTGCCAGGCTGTTGATATCGCTTTCGTGATTCCACACATATCCTGCACAGCTCAGCTTGTTGACTTTCATTTCGTTCTTGGTCAGGGTCCCTGTTTTGTCAGAGAAGATGTAGCTGACCTGACCAAGCTCCTCGTTGATGGTGGACGTCTGACACTGCATTGGGGTATTTGACACCTCATCGAACAGATCAACATCACTGTTCATCAGGAAAATTTGACTGACTTTAACAATCTCCATGCTGACATACAGAGAAAGTGGTAGCAGGGTATTGAACATGATGATGAAAGACGCTAGGACCTGGCCCCAATTCACGGTGGTTCCAGAGAGATACCATGCCCTATCCTCATATGAATTCCAAGCACTATATCCGAAAGAGCAGCCTAGCGAAAGTACCAAAACAAAGCCCGCAATCAAGATTACGATTCTGTTGACCAAACTCTGGAGCGCCGGAGCCTTGATTCGAGGATTCTTGTTCGCATTCTGTCGTATCCGGCACTCTTCGCCCGTGTAGCAGACGATGCCGACTGCGACCGGCGTATTTCGCAAAATGCTTCCGCGGTACATGACTTCATGGGTTGTCAAAGGAAGTATTTGGTCTGCGATGCTAATTTTACCCTCAAAACGATAGAGATCCATGGACGGATCTTCAACGACTATTTCACCATGGCAGTTTGATACTTGATCAAGGGTTCGACAGTGATTTAAAAGTGACACCGGGGGTTGCTTATTCTTCAAGTTAGTCTCACCGTCCAACGCCATCGTCTCTGTATACGCGGTAGTACCCTCTGCGTACATCAATATCATGTCAGCCGGAACCTGGTCGTCTCTTTTGAGACGAATGATATCTCCCACTTTAACTTGTAACCACTTTTTTGCAGTCCAGAGCTGAGGTAAGGGTGGAGGATTGTCATCCGTTTCCGATGTAGGTTCTTTAGCATCAAATTCTCTGTTAAGCACATACGTTGTGCGGTTGTTCTCTTCCTTATCTAACTTCCAGCGGCGAATGTCGTCCCAACCTTCCTTGCCCATCGATATACCCACAAACACCAGAAGCGGCACTATAGTAGTGAATGTTCCGGTTGTGCTCAGACCAGGTATCAGCTGCAGAATACTGATTGCTAAAAAATAGGCGTTGGCAAGTTTTGAGAACTGGGCGAAAAGCTGGCGGGGGAAGAAGCTGAAGAAGCTGTAACGGGACGAGCGAATGGAGTTATGAATGTAGGGCGACTGAGTGCGCTCGTCAAGCAGATTGGCTTCATTAATGAAAATATGCCTCCCATCTGCGCTGGGAGGGAGTTCAGTTATACCCAAGATTGTCTTGCTGGCTTTGGTATAGAGGTCTTTTCCTAATCGCCAGATGCGTATACCAGACCTCGCGCTGGCAACGGTCTCTTCCTCATGCTTCGCGGGAGGTGCATTGCTTGTGGCATGGATAGGCGCTGTCAGCTCAATGGCCTCTGGTCTTGCTTGTGGCAACATTTTTATGTTCTTCGCAAACAAGGTCCTGCGTAGAGAAAACCCTCGATCTCGATTCTTAACCACACCAGGCACATTTTGGGAGCCTGATGGTTTCGAAGGTCCGGATGACTGGTCGGAAGGGAGTGTCTCAGGAGATACAGCGCAAATAGAATTTCGAGGACTCCGCTCTAGACCTTGCGACAACGATACCGGGCGAGAGCTTTCGCGTCCGCTGTCTGTCTGCACATTATTCTCGGAACTCTGCCCTTTCCTGGCATTGTGAGACATGGATGTGCAACGTCTTTCACCCAAACCTCAGGAACAGTATCTGTGCAACGTGTCCATCTTACCATCATCAACGATGGCCAGCTGAAGTTAGCGAGGGTGTATTCCGAAGTGGTGGTGGATTCACTGCGAGAGTGAGAGTATCATGTTGAGAGAAAGGAATCGGGAATCGTCCATTGCGATGGTAGACCAACAAAACGGGCGATGGTGACAAGCACTGCCGCGTAAATGCCCCCACTACCACGTACACAGCCCAACTCCAAAGCCAATGACATCCGGGCCAAGGAAGGGTCCAAACTGCAGCGATTGGCTACGAGTACGGAGTAGTAGTTAAGCCTAAATTCAGGGATGAATCGTGTCACTAACCAAGCGCACGAACTTTCTGTGCGACGACAACCTCGACAACCACCACTCCTGCCTTGAGGGCTACCGGTCGTAAAATTGTACACCGAATCCACGCAAAATTATATCAAGTCCTCTATGGGGGGCATGATAGTCTGTAAGTCTGTAACAGTCAGACTTCTCTCTGATTCCACGGATGGAATAATTCAACAGTTCCATCAAACACCCAAACCCAAAGAGCCGTAGTACCTTAATACCCACCCAACTCCTCCTCCATATCTAACTGCCCGCTCCGCCTCCATCTCGGTGCCACCTCCACCGTATCCTCCTCAGCCACCACCTCCCGCAGCACTCCCCAATCCTCATCCGTCGTCAGTAGGAGCTTCCACTGGCGGCCCCTCCCACTCTCCACATAGCGGCCTACCACCTTCATCACATCCTCCACATACTCTCCCCACGCCGGCCTAAGACGGTCCAGCCCATGCAGTACGACAATGCACGTCCGCGGCATGAGCTTGAGCACCGCCTTCAGCACCTCAAGCGCCGAGTCCCACAACTCGAGCGAGCCGTCCAGCGCGCGGAACGCGGCTCGTGACAGCTTCTTCCGGGATGAATGTAGCGTGCGCGGCAGCAGCGCGCCGGATCAAGCTGTAGGCGAGGTTGACCAGCGTGCTCTGCGCGTCGGCATCCCAGTAGTGACTGTCGGCGGCGCGGTTGATGTCGTCTTCTTCCAAGCGGGAGGAGCTGGAGAAGGCGAGCACCGGGACCTTAAAGCGCAGGGCCCTGGCAAGAACTGTGGTGGTGATGCCGCTGGTACTGCGGGAGTGTGCCCACCTGTCTCCGGGGCTTGCACCGGAACCACGGACCCAAAGCCTGCGCGGGTCGGGATTTGAGCTCCAGGTTTGGAGGGCTTCGATGACGTTGTGGTCGGTGTGGGTGGAGGGAGGGAGTGAGAGATAGGGTGTGAGGTCGGTGGTGTAGTCGGCGAGGTGGGAGGAGTAGAGCTGGAGACTATTGCGAGTGTAGGTGTGCTTGCAAGGGTTTGGAAGGGTTTCATGTTAGCGACATAGTCGAACGCCTAGGGTAACAGATAATGACAATGAGAAATAGAGGACGTTCAGCCTTTGGCAGCAAGCAGCAACGAACCGTCGGGTGTGCATGATGCCCAAGCCAGCGACGTGCGGTACCGAGTCAACTACGAGGATTCCAAGGGTAATGCGTTGCGGGTACAACGACCGCGGACGCCTTTCTGACTCGGCTCCATGTCGAATGCGCCAGTGCTCGAGACGGTGACGACGGTGACGGGGAGTGGCTTGGGCGAGGAGAGCAACGCCATCGAATCCGGCTCAGAAGACGAGTATGATGCCAATGCTAATATCCTTACCGACACCAACGGTGACAAGGTCCGCCACAGCCGCCCCCAGAGCAAGACGAAGCCGCTCGAGGATCAGCGCATCACGCAGACGGAACTCAAGATTCGCTCGTCTGAGCTGCTTAATGCCCTCCACTCCGTTGTCAAGTACTACCCGGGCCAGACGCTGATGGGCGATGTAGCCACGTTCCAGGAGCCATTCCGCCTGCTCGTGCACTACCGCGAAGAACTTGAGGCCTACAAGCAGCAGCACCCGCCCGAGCACAATGACGAGTACAGACAGACGTGCAACGAGCACATTGATATCCTGCTCGGCTTCCTCAAGCGCCACTTTGGCAAGAGCCTCGAGGAGGAGGAACGCCGCCAACATCAGGATCCTCCTGTCTGCACCTTCGAATGGGCCTGGCTGCTGCTCAAACCTGGCGACACTATCTACGCCGAGACCGACGAACGCATACCCGGCCTACCGAGCCCGTAGTTATCAAGAGCGTCGACGGCGGCGTGAGCCAGGCTGGCCCTCAGAGTTGCGATATTGGTATGTGGAACGTCGACTCGGATGGCTACCAGCTGGGCCGCTCTGTGGAGCGCGAATACATCATCCCGTTTATGGGTGAGCGGGAAGTGACAACTCTCACCGCGTATCCCACCAAGTTTCACCACGAAACGGCGCAGGATATTGCGGCGAACGGAAGGGAAAACACCAGAGGCGCGTCTCATCGCCTGCAGCCGTAAGTTCTAGGATCTAGCCAAAGGGTTTCTAAACCGAGAATATGAGGGCATCACCCTAAACATACCCTACAGGAAGGTGGGCGCTCCCCTACATATCTATATTTGAACTAAGTAATAACAACATTTGCTGTATATATCAACCAGGTCAAATCACGCATCGTCGTCGACTTCGACCCCTATTATGCTATGGACTCTTCCAAGAAGCCCCTATTCACCGGGGAGTACTTAAGCAACGTCGACGGCAACGAGGCGGCTAGTATGGCATCCGAGTGCACCTGTGAGGCCTGCACCGCCCGCCTCGAGCGGAGCAAGATTAAAAAGGGCCTCGTTCTCGGACTACGAACTGCGTGGATCCGAAGCACGAGCCGCCCAACTGGGACCACTTCCTGTTCCTGTGCCGCCCTGAAGTACCTAGGTACATCCTCAGCGAATGGAAATGGGGTGAGTCGTACAGATAGACTACGATCTCGCGCAAAGAGTGAATGCTGACGGCTACGGCCCTACAGAGTGGCTCGACGCAGAATACGTTCAGAAGGTCAGTTTGCAAAAGGATGCTTTCAGTTGCTTTGTCTTGGAACCCGAGATCAAGGGCGTAGTGGAGGCACTCTCACGCACGTACATTTAGTTCAAGCTCCGTAGTAGGATCAACACCGATTTCATCAAGGGCAAGGGCGAGGGCCGTATATTTTTGCTGCATGGTCCCCCTGGTGTGGGTAAGACATGCACAGCCGGTGAGTGTCCTCCTCGCCACCGACTCCCGAATATATTACTCGGGAAAGGGAAGAGAATATGGACTGACAAGTCTGTAGAGTCTGTAGCCGAGCTCCTTGAGCGGCCCCTTCTCGCCCTCACCTGTGGCAACATTGGTACATCAGCCACCGACGTCGAGCGCCTGGGCCAATACTTGACATGGGGCGAATTATGGGGTGACTTGGTGCTGCTTGACGAGGCCGACATCTACTTGGAGAAGCGGGCGTACAACGAGGTGGAGCGCAACAGCGTCGTGTCCGTCTTCCTACGGGCTCTCGAGTACTACAGGGGCCTTCTGTTTCTGACCACAAATCGCGTGAATGCCTTCGATGACGCCTTCAAGTCGCGTATCCATGTGAGCCTGCACTACTCTCAGCTCACTGACGAAGACCGCGGCGCCATTCTGGCAACAACTTCTTGAAACTGGGCGTCAAGGACGACATAGAGGTGACGAAGAAGGGGAGGAAGTACATTCGCGAGAACGAGACACTGCGGCAGCTGCAGTGGAATAGACGCGAGATTCGTAATGGTAGGTCCAACTCCTTTCTTCCCTGGTTCCTTTCCCAATATCTTCAGCTTCAACACTCACAGCCTAGGCTAATCGAAAATCAACCCCCAGCTTTCCAAACCTTTGGCGGCGAGGGCGCCAACGAGGGCAAGATCTGCGTGACAAGCAAGCATATGAAACGCGTCGTTAACATGGCCAAGGCCTTTTCCGACTACTGCCTGGCGCTGAACCGCGGCCGTAGCGACTTCTTAGCCCAGCCACCGTTGGCTATGCGGAGCAAGAAGGCGGAGCTCGCATCCAAGACAAAAACGAAGAGCCGCAAGCAGGAGAGCGAGAGTACCAGCGGCTCCTCCAGTGACAGCGAGTCTAAACGTAAGACTTTCGTCAAGTCGCTTAAGGATGAGAGTGAGAGCGAGGAGGAGACGAGTGAGGAGGAGACGAGTGAGGAGGAAACGAGCGAGGAAGAGGTGGCGAGGAAGAAGAAGGATAGCAAGTCGAAGAAGTCAAAGGCAGAGGAGAGCTCTATGGAGGAGAAACAGAGGAGGAAAGCCAAATATAAATGGCGGGTTCGAAAGGGGAAGCCAGCGGAGGAAAGTGACGAATCTGATGAGTGATCGTTGTACAATGTCAGACCTCTGTTGGAGTTATATCTAACATTGATCCAATATTTAAAAAATCACTTTATAAAACTACAGCTAAGTATCACATTATCACAGAAATGAGTGGAGTGACTGTTATTACAGAGGACAGAGGAAAGAAGCATGGCAGAGCAAGAGAACAGACAGCAAGAAGGCGACAGGATAAAGAAAAGAAAAAAGAAAAAAATTCTAATTTATATATTTTAAAATAAACGTTGTTATTCCTTCCTTTTCCTTCCTTTCCTTCCTTTCCTTCCTTTCCTTCCTTTCCTTCCTTTCCTTCCTTTCCTTCCTTTCCTTCCTTTCCTTCCTTTCCTTCCTTTCCTTCCTTTCCTTCCTTTCCTTCCTTTCCTTCCTTTCCTTCCTTTCCTTCCTTTCCTTCCTTTCCTTCCTTTCCTTCCTTTCCTTCCTTTCCTTCCTTTCCTTCCTTTCCTTCCTTTCCTTCCTTTCCTTCCTTTCCTTCCTTTCCTTCCTTTCCTTCCTTTCCTTCCTTTCCTTCCTTTCCTTCCTTTCCTTCCTTTCCTTCCTTTCCTTCCTTTCCTTCCTTTCCTTCCTTTCCTTCCTTTCCTTCCTTTCCTTCCTTTCCTTCCTTTCCTTCCTTTCCTTCCTTTCCTTCCTTTCCTTCCTTTCCTTCCTTTCCTTCCTTTCCTTCCTTTCCTTCCTTTCCTTCCTTCCTAACCACGTATTCTATATACGCATTTCATACGTTTATATGCGTATTCTTTGAGATACTGATCCAAGTTCACAAAAGAGTTACGCTCAAGTAACCAAAGTTACTTGAATGCAGTTGAAATAGTATAATAATCCCTATCCAGGTGAACTCTAGATTCATCAAGACTCCTAAGCATCCCAGGGGCACTCTGTTCTACCTATGACATCCTTTACGTTGTTTCTATGCATTTTGTGTGCGCATTCTGATTTTGATGAGGTACGCCTTAGCAAGATACTGTAGCCTTGGCGAGCTAAAACGGCAATCATACCCAAGAAGGAAGGAAGAGGTGCACTTTGATAAATGATAAATGATTAACTACCCAAAAAATTAAAGGAAAATTACCGTTTCCTGTCCTCAGACGTGCTGACTTCGTCAGCAACTAAAATGAGAGAGAATTTCGGAGATTGATGACGACATCGAGCTGCAAGGGCGATGACGAGCCTCGGAGGCATCAGCAGTAGATTATATGATAATATAATAACTCAACACCAAGAATATCTATCTCATCTTCCGAAGAGCTAATCTGTTCAAGTTCGGATGTTCGCCTCTCTCCACTCCACCCATCCGGTGATATCACGAGTACCATGATATGCTATTGATGGTACTATGCTACCAACGGAACAGGCGGTAAGGGCGGTTGCAACGGCAAGGAACAGACGTCCGTTTTGTTGGTCTGATGCGAATGCTGGAAGCATTTGTGCCATTTAGCTCTCCATGCAGTAACCTGCCGCACCCTTAATATCTCACGTCGACCTGCTCTTGTTCCATTTCCCCTCTTCATCTCCTAATCACTCGACCCTTCTCCGCCTACTTCGATTCGCGCCTGAACATCATATTTATCTCCTGTTGTCTCGATCACATTCTACATCCCATACCGGTACCACGCACGACTCTGACTCCTTTGTAGAACTGTCCCTCTGTTAGCTCGTCCCTCTTGCGTGCACCAGACAGGTCCAGCATTCTTACTCTCGATCTTGACCTGCACGATCTGGAAATTCTGCCAGATTGTAACGAGGCCAATGGTTGTGGCGATGATACCGAAGACGATCGTCCAGATGACTTCACCTGTCATTGTGATAGTTTATGAGTATCCTCTGCTGCTCCTGTAGCAAGACTGATTCGGGTGTTGGATGATGTTGGTGGCAGTGAAAGGTGAGGGTCTCGGTGTAGATGCGCTGCAAAGCTGACGATGTTGTTGCAAGGCGAGCCTCTGGCTAATACAGAGGTTTCTAAGGAGAGCATTATTGGTCTTATACAAAGCATTCTGGAGTGCCCCGGCGCAAGAATACTCGTTGACCAAGATATTGACCATGGGAAAAATCACGAAAACAATGCCTGGCGCAACAGGAGATTGGGGGCACCCCCCTGAACTCTCCATGAAATTCACAGTACGAAGCCACATGGAGTCCGTCGCACCGAGGCAAGTCAACCAACTGTCCTGGTCGATTAGGGGTCTCAAACATTGCGCCGGGGCTTGCTTTCTCATCATGTCAGTGGCTACTATAGGTGGCTACTACCACTAGCCTACCACTGACGCGCTGCGCCGGGGCATGATCCCAAGCCCCCTTAGCCTAGGCTAATAGTGCTCCAACAACATGCCCGAAGCCTCAGGGGCATTGCGCTGGAAGTTTGCTTTCCGCTAAGGTATAATCAGACCTTTGTCTGGACTGCGCCGGGTCACATGGTGAGCTGGAGGTCAGTGAAAAATCAGTACTGTGACGCCACAACTGCATTCTGCGCCAGGGCATATCGTGTTCTTCACCAACCTGCAGCAACAGGAACGCGAAGTTCTTGCAGCGCGGTGCTCCCCGGCACATGGATTCAGACCCCTATCGCTTTCAGCGGGCACTGAAAGCGAGCACCTCTTTCATCAAAAACGATGCCTTTACACAAGTGTCAAGTATGTGGCAAGATCTTGTCAAGATCTACGAAGCTCTCCGAGCATATCAGATCTCATACTGGCCAGAAACCGTTTCGTTGTGATATCTGCAAAGCCCATTTTTCGAGGTCTTACGACTTGACGAAGCACAAAGAGCGGCACAGTGGCTCGTACAAATACAAGTGCGAGGGCGAAGAGAATGGAGTGACGTGGGGATGTGGGAAAGGCTTCCACAAGAAAGGAGATCTCAATCGCCATCTAAAGCGTGGCAACGCCGAGCAATGTCGGCGTGCGAGGCAAGCAGTCACACCTACAAGAAGCGAGGCTGGCGAAAGACCAACCCAGCTCAACGGCGCCAACCCATCTCAATCGCAGCCAGTCACTGCATTGGAGCCCAGAACATGTAAAAATTCACAGCAAGTCATCATCCAAGACCGTCTGCGAGCTGCTCAGCTTGCCCACCTTAGAACAAAGTCAACGCCCCCAGGTAACCTTGAGAAGTCACCCTTCAGGAGTTATTATTTATCCTACATACTTCCACCGCCACAGCGAGAAGAACAACATCCACTTTCTAGTTCGCAAATCTCCAATCGGCTGCTTTCTCAACAGCCGACTCGTAAACAACAGGGTTGCGATGCCATGGATATTGATGGAGGTTCTGTTCGGCAGAGTCAAGAGGCCGCCGATGTTCTGGCCAATATGAAAGATGACCGATCTATGAGGCTCCCAATGATTTCCGCAGCAACCGACACTGATCCTTCTACCATAACTCCGAACACCAGCGACAACGCATTCATTCATGAACGAGGTAATTCAGCCGACCAAAGGGAGCAGGACCGGCAGCAATCTGGAGTGATACCACGGATGCAGGATCAGATGAATACCTCCCAAGCATCGGCGACTCCTGCCGAACAGTTCCCGAGCAATGATGGAACAGGCAGCAGTCAAAAACTATCCTTGGTCCAAAACTCTTACCGCGGTATGACTTGGGAAGGCTTATCAAGAGGAAGCTGGATTCAAGCTGACTTGATCGTATCCGGCACCCCGCCATATTCTTTCCAGTCGCCATCGTATCACTTTCCGTCCGACCTGCCGAAAGTGGAGGCAAATTTCATCTATTGTGGACGAACGCTGCCTACGGTCCACGAACTCATGGGCCATTTTGGGGTACAACACTCCCAGAAGCCTCCAGCTGCCAACAAAGACTAAGGTGCAATTGGTGTCGTACCGAAGCCTGCGCAGCACCAACAAGCTCTCCTCCCTACGGCAGAAACAAGCGCGATACCAGAATCGCGCTCCAAAAGTGCACCACCTCACAGCGAGGAGGCGGGAAGCTCTATTGCACTCAGCGGCTTTCGTGATGAGAGGCACAATATCGGGGGAATCACTATACGGCAGCGAACACCAAGGATTCTGCTTGTTGAAGACGATCCAACCTGCAGAAAATTTGAAGGAAAGTTCTTGTTTACATTGAAATGCGAAATCGATAATGCGGTAGATTGCTTGGAGGCCGTCAACAAAGTCAGCGAAGTCCAGGCGAGTCTCAGTCTGCGATATGACCTGATCATGATAGATATAATCATGCCGAACCTGGATGGTGTAACTTCTTCTCTCTCAATACGACAATTTGACCGGACGCCAATCATTGCAATAACGGCCGACTTTCGAGCAGATGATATCCAGATGTACTTCCGCTATGGTATGGATGGTGTGCTGCAGAAGCCGTACACTCGCAAGAGTCTACTTGATATGCTTGAGGAGCACTTCTCTCATCTAAAGAAGACAAAGAGCGTGATTGAAGACAGTATGCATGGTCCAACGAATACCGCAAGCAACCTGGGCACACCAGACGCTGGATCGAACCAGTTTTCATATCCAGAGTCACAGCTGAATAATAACATCACTCCTATGGGACTCCTACTCAACGAGCACTGGCTGACAGAGCTTCCCATAAGCCAGCTGCAATCAACGAACCCGTGAGCAACGTACAACGAATTTACCAGGAGCTGAGACCCATACACACTGAAGCAGACCCTGTCCCGCCTGATGCAATGCCATCCGGCCTCCCACCCATGGAAAACAGAGCTCCCCACGCTTTAAAACACTACCGAGTCTATAAAAAACATGACGGGGTATGGTATTGGAAGCTGCGGATCATCCCAATACGATCTGAGGGACTTCCAACACCTAGAACACGAATCGATTCCGTTCAAGAGCTGAAGCGATGGCTCTTCATCACGGCACAAGTGACACGCATTTAATGACAGTTGGTCACGATGTAATTAAAGCACCGCTTACGTCTCACGCTCTCAACAATGGTCATCGAATAATTGTTCTTGCCGACAATGCATTTTTGAGCAGCAGTCATCGTACATAGCGCACTGCCATTGAGCAACTCGAGAGCACAAATATCTGTATTGGCATTAAAATCTATGCAAAGTAGATAAATGGAGAGATGTGTTGGATGACATATCGCAAGAGAGAGGAATTGGCGCCCAGCATTGTCATCAAGACTAGGAGCTGGGCAGCACCTCCTTTCGAGCAGATGCCAAGCCAATAACAACAACGCTGATAGCCTTATGCAAGGGAAACATTAGGAACATCCCTACTCGTAAGTAACGGAGCGTGTAGAACGATGTTGAGCGGCGATAATGCTCGCCGGCTTATAGCAAGATCCGACCCTCCGCGGTTGAGAAATTTCGCCAAGTCTTTGAATATCTCATTAAACGTACGGGAACGCTGTGCTCAACATCGAAAGGCGACCATTCAGTGATATAAGTTGCAAATATACATCGGCTTCGCCAAGCCTGCGCGCCAAGACAAGCAAAGAATGTCAACGTGACTCAGCGGACAGTACACACCACACGTGATCGTTAAGCCAAGCCCTTATGCCAAGCTCCCACTGTCACCACACTTCATTTACCACAATCGTTCCACCTGCCATTCGCATTCACCCTCTAAAGAGATTCCACCAACGATCATTATATAGACTATCTATTCACAATCTCACAGAGGACCCTCTGGCAGATTTATCTACTTCTACAACACATCTTTCCTCTGATCTTGCTCTATTTCATCTTCTAGGTGCCACACGGACCTAAAAGTTGCCTTATCCACCAAACCGCGGTAAAATGACGGTATTTTCTAATTGGTCCAACCTGGCACTAGCGGCCTTGGCGACCGGAACCTTAAGCAAATACAAACCAATCAGATGCCAGGATGGAAACCTTATTTTATCAAGATGGTATTGTA